CAGTAGTTAAAATTGTGTTGCGTTAACACTAAAAAGAATTTTTTTTTTTTTTAATAACTGAGGTGTTAAAACAAGCTTACGTGCACTTTAATTAATTCTCAGAATAAACTATCCCACAATAATCCATCACCATAACCCTCCAGGTAAATTATGGGCAAATATATTACCCTTATGTTCAATGGGAGAACAACCCTTAATGGGAGAACAAACTTAAGACTGTAAGTTGAATCATTTGCTGTTTCATTGGTTCGCCCTTACCGTTAGACTACCTATGGGTGAGTCATTTTCAAAATATTCGATATGTCGTGTCGAGATAATTGATTAGTACTTTTTCAAATTTTGGTCCACCAACATCAACTCAAAACAAATTAACCGTGATTAATGATACTATTACATGATATTTAAATTGATGAAAAAAAGTAATAGTCTTTGCTACTACATTATTATTAGGTGACGTCGATCGTGAGATGAAATATAATTTGATAACATAAGAAATTATTATTACTTATGTATTTTGGTACCTTTTGTCGGTAATTTTCGTATATGTTTCCCAAAATTTAATTATGTATAAAAGTTTAAACCTTTTTTTTTTTCCTTTGAATAATATTGTATATTTCGCATTTATATCTTAATTTTTACATCTCAAAACTCGAGCAATATGATTATATGATTTAATTCTGTATAAAAGTTCATACATTTTTTTATTTGAATAATCTTGTATATTTCGCGTTTATATCCTGATTTTTATATATCAAGAATCAAGCCATATGATTATCTAGATTTATGAACACAAAACTTGACATATAACCTCAGTTTTTTTTTTCTTAATTAGAACTTACAAATATAAATCAAACCCTCTAAAACCCTGTCTCTGATTACTCATATTTGATAATCAATACTACACAACATAAAAGGAATATAAAACCATGAGTGTTATATTTAGGGTTAGCCTATATTAATTAAAATTCTTATTTGTTTTTTTTTCAACCATTTATCTATTACAATTTAATGGCTTTAAGAGTTGAAATCTATTATATAAATGAAAATTACTCACTTCAATTCTATTATTTGATAAATTATAGTATTACATACTGTTATGCCTAAAAAAGTAGGGCTGACGCAGAGCCCTGTCAGCGTAAGTGGTTAGAGCTTAGGTAAGTCCAGTAGCTGTTCAGATGTAGTCACGTCGCACGCTGACGTAAGAGGCGTGCTCCTGCCAGTACAGTAGGTGTGTGTCAGGCTGGTAAAAGGCTGGAGGTGATCCACGTGTCCAATTCTTGCAAGAATCGAGCAAATCACTCAAGCAGGTGAATAATAGGGCGTAAGGAAGGATTTGGACGGCAATCTGACCCACTCCCTGATTTAGTAATCATTACCTCAATTCATACCACTATAAATAGAGGGCTTTTCTCCCATTTGTGGGATTAGCTAAATTCTCTCTAGAATAACATACTTATTTTCTCTTTGTAATCACTTGTAGATCAACTCGCTGAACGCGACCTGACCTCAGTACATTAATACAATATCAGTGGACGTAGGAGTCGCTTGTTTAAGCATCCGAACCACTTTAAACATCGTTCTCATCTCTTATCTATTCGCGTGTGTTTTTTGAGTCAGTTCAGCATTTCACATGTGCGTTTAGTTGGTTTCAAACTCTAGCATCAATACATGCGATCCAACTTTCAATAATATTATACTATATATTCATCAATCAATATAAATTGCAACCAAATTCAACATTAATCAATACAAAATCCAATAATCCCAATACTCAATAATTGATCTTAAACCATTTGTGTCATCATGAACACTTGTATCGCTTGCATGGTTTGTTCATAGTTTAATATTTGAAATTGGATCATATTCTTTCAATATTAAATAATTTTTCGGGGCTAAAATTAAAGGAAATTTATTCAAGCAAGTCATCACAAGTTGGTTGATAAAAAATGTGGTGGTCCAAATTGAGAGAGTAGATTAAATATATATAAAAATATATAGGTTGATTATGAGGTGACAAATTTGAAAGCTCCTTGTGAAGCAAAATTATTTGTATGTGTGGCATACAAGAATTGGCTCTTCATAAATCATGGTTGAGTAATATTATATTAAAAAAAGAAATCTCAATTTTCAATCGGAACCAAAATGGTTGCCAAAGAAAAAATTATAAAAAACAATCTCACGATTTTTTTCTTTAATTATCAGGGGTGTTCGAGTTAGCTTGTGTGTTGCTCAAATAATCCTTCAGTGCCTTGGAACTACTCACCGGGTAAGAGCTCTACTGACTATCCCTATTAATGCTTAAAGGGACTCGAACTCAAGAGCATATAAAACCTCATTTTGCTCTTTTATCATCAGGTGATCCAATAGTGGTTGATAATCTCATTATCTCGTTGTGTTAAACGTTTGTCAACCGTCTAAAAGACTTGTCCTTTCTTTTAAGCTTAAGACTCAACTCGTGTCTATGTGATATAGGATTGTAACACTATGGTAGGTTATTCCAAAAACTAACAACACATGCCATTCTTAGATTAGATATTCTGATAGCATTAACAAAGTAAGGTAGTAAAACTGTATCCATAAATATTTATGTGGACTATTTCAACAAGACAATACTATAGAATATATTTAAAGAATTTTGGAATTTATAAACGTAACATTAGTGATAATAACAGTCACTCTACAGTCTATACCTTATCTTCTTTTCCAATAAGCTATCAATCAATTGACTACCACTCAATCAATCTCCACACAAACAGTGCTCAATCATGCATGTTTGTTTGCAAATTCCCATACGACAAAATTAATTAAAAAAAGGAAAAAAAAGTGCTTCTGAAAAATCTACTGTTCATCTTAATCACGATCAGGAGAATTATTGATTCTAAATACTGATTAGGGATTGATAATGATCTCCAGAAAGTCTCTAAATTAACATCATTATCATCTCTTACTTTGTGCCACGTTCAAATTCCATTTTATATAATTCAGAAGATTAAAAAGGTTGTTGAAAATATCATGGATGTTAGAACTGATTCGAGCACTTGTCTTGAATTGAATTTGAGATTGAAATTAATTAATATATTGCATTAAAGATGTCTCATGATTAAGCTCAGTAATCACTTTCGGAAAGAGAAATGCTTAATCATTGTGATTCACCAAAAGTGGAAGTGAAAGTAACTTTGGAAAGGATTACAGTAAAAGAAGAGATTTTACATTTTAAATTGAGTATATAGATTTTTTTGACGAGAAGGGTTAACATCGAGAGTCTTCATTAGAATTGGTAACTATTTCTACATATTAAAGATTAATCAAGTTAGGTTAAATTTCTCTGATAAACACGTTAATGTATATAGCATTGGGAGAGATGTTTTATTCCGAATGAAAATGTTGATGTTGGAAAAAGGCTTGTGGAAAAGCCGGTTTCCTTGTAATGTAGTAAATACAAGAACCCTTTCTATTCAAGAGAATTCAACTTTGGTGGTATGGAAGCACTTGGGAATTAGCCAGAGACTTCTGAAATTACCAAGTAATTAATCAATCAAGAAAGATATCATTAGTTAGTATTGATTGGAGTTGACAATTCTATTGAAACACAGCCAAAACTTAGAAAGAATTGCTGTCCAACAAAACTACAAAAGCAAAAGCCCTTTTAAGTTTGTTTGAAGAAAATTGAATTGGTCTTAAGTCTCAACTACCAGCCTTGCTTGTTCATATAATTGTACCATGTAAACCCTACATGTTTGTTCTCAATCAATTTCTAGTTTCTGTGTCTTCCATTATTAACATTTACCTCTACACATGTAGGATGATGAAGCTTTATTTTCGTCGGTTTTATAAAATATAAATATCAAAACCGACCATTTGATTTACAGTTTAGATAAATACAGTCATCAACATTTGAATATATATAGTCGATAACAGAAATTAGATATATATCCACATCTAAATATAGTCGATGATGGATTTTTACGTGTGAGACGTAACAAAATTAAACACATCAAAATACGCTTATGTTTTGATACTATATAAAGTCATTGATTGATCCGAAAGTAAGATGAATAATTAGTGATACAAACAATAATGTTGATGTTCTAACTAGAACATGTGTCCCTCTGTGACTCACCATCAAGATTAGGCTTCTCACTTAGCCATTAGGAACTACCAGTCTGAGCTCCGGGACTGCTTGGACTGCTGGTTGAACTATAATGAAGCCAAACCAAGACTCGTGTTGTCAAATCCTGAACCAAACTTTGTGGCAAAAATTGATTGAAATACTAGAATTAATTGCAACCATCGAGCACGAGGCCGCCAACGCAACATTTTACAAGTCTCAATCTTATGAATCATCATATTCTTATCCATTAAGGAATGAATTCCCTGTTTTTGAATTGGCATTTTGATTTGTATTCCCAAACTTGAGTTTTCCGCAATTAAAATTTGGTCAGAAAAATTGAGCAGTATTATGAGAGTTATTGCTTCCTTATCCAAACGTGTCTTTCATTTTCTTTCGGTCTTTTACCACGCTTCGTGGAAACGGTTCTCTGCACATACAACTAATCAATCATATCTTTCGGTCTTTTACCACGCTTCGTGAAAACGGTTCTCTGCACATACAACTAATCAATCATGAGACACTACGTTGACCAATGTGATATGAACAAATTTGAGAGTTCTCTTATTCAAAACAAATTCAATTAAGTAAAAAATTTTGTAACAAAAAAGTTGCTTGATGATTTAAAAGTACATGAAAATTTAGGGAAAAAAAAAAAATCTACATTTCTCGGTGTCAGTAATTAGCTATGAACAACAGAAAACCCACTAAAAATTATAAATAAACTGCAAAAAAGACATCTTGCGGTAAACTTGGAAGATGTAAAATTGTAAATTTTTACTCTAATCTTCAGTAATTCATCAACTGTACAAACGATTTGTCTTGTCACCTGAGTTTAACCAACCAAAGTTTCAACTGATCTGCCAATTTTGAATCTTTGATTTTCGGCGTATTTGATGTATCAAAGGCTAATGAATTGGTGAGGCTGGGAAGGAACATTGTGAAATAACCAACTGCTCAATCTTTTGGTGGTTTAACAGGCAAGCTCTCTTTGGGTTGTTTTGGCTTCTCTTCGGGTTGTTTTGGCGGTTCAACAGGGAAGTTCTCTTCAGGTTGTTTTGGCTTCTCTTCGGGTTTATTTGGCAGTTTAACAGGGAAGCTCTCTTCGGGTTGTTTTTGCCACAAAAAGTTGGCGGCCTCTATCCACCGTGGATGGACTAAAAACTTGTTCTCCTTCAGAGCCCAACGAGACTTTTCGGTTCCAGCATCTGTTGAGACCACATGTGTCACTGATGAATCATGTTCTGTCAAGCATGTAGCTCCTAATTGTTCTGCCATTTTCCAAAGATGGTGATTTTCGGCTGGGAATTTGGTGGGGAAAACACGACTGAACACAATTTTACAATCCTTCAATACTTGCTTTCTGACCGTTTTCAAAACCTGCAAGGATGATAAATGTCAAAGGTCTTCATGAATGTAAAGATATTCATATTGGGATTAGCATAGCAAACAGTAATCACTGTGATTGAAAAAATCAACATACATCAACGGAACCAATGTGCACAATAATAAGAGCATATAAATTAGAATCAAATGGAGTACTGAGACCGAATGTTATAAATCACATTCGGAAATGTAAGAACCATCTTACCTGTCTCACATCTTTGCCAGTGACATCACCCCTGAGTTCCTACAAAAAGTTTTCGATCAATAAAGTCAAGCACACAAAGCAGAAGATATTCATTTAATCAATAAAATCTGAGGATAATAGACATACATCAAAGAACATGTTGTGGACTCTCTTGAGAACTTTGAGAACAGATGCAAGTGCCCCATCAGGGTCACTCTCATCACTCTTCAATTCAGAAAGAGATTTGCAGTTGTAGCCGAATTGGTGACAACTTGAAGCAAAGAAATGATATCTTTCCATCAGTATCAAATTGTCCTTATGCTTCGCCCACGCCTAAAATAATGGTTCCAACACAAAAAGAAATTTAAATGTTAAATAAATTACTTAAAAAAAAATTGCATTTTCCAGGACGGAAAGGAAATCAAATATCCTTCAACATATGTGTTCATTTTTCATATTTACATTGAATGAGGAGTAGTAGCTCTTAATTATCCCCATGAAACCCATAAAAGACGAAAAGCAGGATTCTATTTTTGTGAGGAAATAAAAACTAAAATGTAGTGCTGGTAAATCCCCCATAAAAATTGTTTTGTCAGCTGCTTGCTCCAAGCAGCTATGGGGAAGGAAAGGGGTTCCCAATCAGGTTTCTGCCAATTATTATATCTGAAGACTGATTTGCACATAATACAATTCCAAGCGTGTTATTATGATGATTATCACTGATGGAAGAAAACTGGTTGAAAATGCACTTACATTTTCTGTGTCATCAAGGATCAGTACAGCACTCTCTTGCCCTAGAACCACATCAAGACCCTTTTGATGTCTTTGAGTGCCATCATCTCGAGAAATCACCCTAGCACTGAAGTACTCCCTGGTAGGATCAAGTAGCTTAGCCATTTCTAATGCATATGGCCTGTCACCCATTGTGTATATATACATCTCAAACATTTGACTTGCTTCTTTCAAAAATGTGCGAACAAAGGGCCTCAATTTGGTCATCATATGCATAAAGGTTAACATGAAGAGGCTGCCTTTTGAAACATCTACGCATTTCATAAAATTTAAAAACCAAGGAACAAGTGAGAAAAGTCACCAAACTCCAACATTTGGAAGAAGATAGTAAAGAAGATTAAAATTTTTTAAAAATAATGAGATGACCAAGCAAATTACAGATAAATCCATAGCAAACAACAGACCAAGTGAAGTGAAAAAGCAAATTTAATAGATAAAAATTTCAATGAGAGCCTCTGTTATGGATTCTGCTAACATAGAGAGTGATGACAGAGTCTATTACTCTTACTATTGCTAGTGGAATAAAGTTCCACTCAAACTCTTCAAATCATCAAGAGTTTAACACAAAATGCCATAATCTTCATTTAGTCCACTCTTCCAAGCAACTAAAACCAGTCCTAGATTTCCGTCCCGCAGATTTTTCCAAGCAATAATCGCGCTAGTCATCTAAACTAGGAACAACAGTAATGTATCAATCTAAAATTCAAGGTCTAAACAAGTTTTCATCAAATTGCAACATTACCCACCTAATGATTATCCATAATTGATAATTAATATTATTATACTACTGTTCCGATTTCATTAAGTTTCTTTTGTTGCTGAATCATGAGTAATTTGATTATTTTCCAAAATTGTTGCACACAGACTACAATCGTGGCCAATAAGTTTTATTCTTTCAGGAAATAAGCTTTATTTTCTTATTACATACTTGTGGCCTTTAAAATTTTTTCTCCGGTACAAAATTTAAAGGTTTTAGTTTTTATGTCAAAACATGAAAGTAAAAATAAAAAAAAGCAATATTAGACCAGCATAATTAAAAAATCTAGAACCGTCAGACTTCAAATAGAAAAACCAAATACCACCAAAGCCGAATCACATCAAGAGGATACTAGCACCCACCTTGCAGAGAGTCAGCTTGACTTTTTAAATAATCCTCCTCTGGGGTCAAGTGTGCAAGAAGTGTTGAATTAAGTAGTGTGTGATCAAGATCAAGAACTAAGTAAAGCTTTCTATGACGTAACAAATACTTCATGTCTGTGTTGCGCAGACGAACAATCTCATCATTTCCTAGCCTTAGACCCTGCAAGGACAGTTGTTCCCCACACCTTATCAATCCACTCAAAAGCAATACAGAACATGTTACATAACTAGCAAAATCATGTTCTTATGTCTGGATGAAAGCCCTTAAATTTAAATAAGAATCTTTCATATAATACGAGATACATTTTGTTGATAGAAAATTAGTTTTAAACTTTGGTCTTACTGCAGGCACATAAAGCATAAAATTGAAAATACAAACCCCAACCAGAATTTAGAATTCCAAAACTTGTTAATTGTTTCAAAAAATATAACCTTATGTATGTACCCAAATGTTACACCAGATTCCTCATCCAACCTTTGCCCACAAAGGATACACATTTCTCCAAAGGATCCTGGATGTGTACATATGTCCACGTTTGCAGTTGCTTCTGCACATCATAACGTTGTTCAAAGAAATTGAAGCCAGCCAAATTAGTGTAAGTCTAAATGAAAGTAAACCTCAAACGAAAGAGAAATACAATTTATGCCTGAAATAAGCACAAGCTAGGTCTCCCTTTTTCCAAATAAAAGTCTCCAGTAGTTCATCAAGTGGGAGTAGTGGAGTGTTAGGTCCAATAAAACTGAAAGACATACCAAATTCTATTAGAAAACTATACCTGTTTGCTGTTCTAGAGTTGCATAAGAAGTTGACCCCTGTTCGTGTATGCTTTCCAACACTTCCACCTTGCACCTTTTTATCCTGCAATTAATCATAAAATGAATTTATAAGAGAAGAATATTTATTAAAAAAAATGCATGTATTTTGACCACTGAAGCTTATAGACTTAAAGACCTAGAGTATAGGTATCTACATAAAGTCAATCAAAGGCAGCATCATCACATGCTGAGATGACTTGACACCAAATACATCCTCACTTCCTTCAATAACATTCCCAGCAACTAGATACTTCAGCCATTAAAATAATCTCTCAATTCTACAAGTCAATCTCCAAATCTCCCCCAATGCCAAATGAATCAAGCACGTGATATAAACTAAACCACAAGTGGACAACATAAAAAAGATAAAAATTTGGACAGACACATCACACGTCACAAAAATTAGGACAACTTGTCATGAAACAAAGAATATACTAGGTGAAAACAAATCTCTACTTTCTCAGTGAATCAAACCATTGATGTTCAATGAAGATAATACGACACAATAAAATAAACCACCAAAATTCTTCCATGGAAATTGAAAGAGTACTTCTGTCACAAGAATTGCACAGTAATTTCTGTGCACACAGATAATAATATAAAACTCTACCCACAAGTATATCATCTTAAATAATATACGTAAACAGCTCTCATACCAGACCTATATCATGTTAAAATACCTTCAAACAACCCAACAATTTCATCAATATGAAGACCAAAGAAGACACCATTACTAGTAAATTAAAATCTAAATGTTGAGTGGACCTACTAAAAGCATGAAAAGTTTGACTCAAGAAGAGCAGGTTAAATGATACAAACACCTAAATCTTGTTATATCTAAATTTCAAAAGAGTGAACTTCCAAAAGATCACAACATTTCCAAACATGCCTCGTTCACAGCCCTAAAAGAATTAAAAAAAAAACATTACAAATACCTCTTGTTGTTGAGGTCATTATCATCCCCGGCCTCCTCATCCTCAGCTTCTTCATCCCTGGCTTCCTCATCCTCAGCTTCTTCATCCCCTGCTTCCTCATCTTTAAAGAAATCAACTTCAGCTTCTTCATCTGGTGATGACTCGGCTGACTTACCTCCCAGCTCTGCATCAAGAAATGCAGCAAAGTCGTCGCTGCTGGATGAATTTAGAGGAGAATCAGCCACAAGACTCATCTGATAATCATTGAAATGAAACACCTTCAATTTAAATGTCCAGATATAAGTTGAAGATGAATTGAAGTAAGAAGTACAAAATATGAAAGAGCAGCCTGATTGACCACAAAAAAAATTAAAAAAAGAGATCTAGATCAAATTACATTCAAAAAATAAAACAAATGATAAGTACTACGGTTGACATCAAGGAAACTTGTGAGAGAAAACTTTATCAATCAAACCAAATTCAAAACTCAATACTGCCAATAATAGTCTGATGCTATATTCTACATTTCCTCACATGTTTCCTTTATACATTTCCTTATCTTTAAACTGCCAATAATAGTCTGATGCTAAATTCTACATTTCCTTATCTTTATACTCATCTATTTCAGCATCCTTATTTCATCTAAACTCACATGGTTATTCTTCTAGATATTATAGGATTCTGTATGTTACTGTCTCTTTCATTTTTATCATCCATCATAATTCATTCATTCATTCAAATAATACCCTCTACCCAGAATTAGGATTACCACCCAAGTCTGACACTCACTTTTATTTAATGCCCTTGTACCTAACTTAACCCATTTCATAAATCCTCTTTAATTTCATTGTCATCTTCATTTCTTCATCCCAACTAAATTCAATATATATACAACTAACTATGTTATTGGCTTTGTTGTATGCTGACCATCAAACAATGCCCCTGGATTTGATCCATTACTCATTAATTTATATAATATCTATATACTTTGATAGCAATGTTCACTATAATTAAATTATTAAATAAAGTTTTAGACAAGGACCAACATATTCCCTGAATGCAGTCTTATACGCATATTATACAATTAGTTCATTACAGAATTCTAAATTTGAAACATGGCTCCAATTTTATAGCATATGCATAACACATTTATATACTTTCTCACTGAATAATAAGTGGAACGCATATTGACTTACAGTAATATCATTATTCTCCTTTTAATTCAGGTTTACAGATTGTTTAGTTGAATAGAATATAGAAATGAAATCGAGATTAGCATCTTGTTTGTAGATATAGGTTTAAGTCTACTACTTGTGAAAACAGCTTCATTTCAAAACCATATTTACAGGGACAGCTATTACTCTACAAACAGTGCCTGCAATTCACTAAGCACAATCCTCAACATTTACTGCTCAAGTGCTCATACAGACAGACAATATCAATACATGCAGTTACTTTTCAACCATTCTATTCAAATACCCACCAATTACAAAGCTCTGAGTCTGAGTTTTTAATATATTCTTACTTTGCGGGTTTTTCTTTTGGCTGATTAAAGTTCGTGACAGAGATTTCACACCCTAAATATACAAATCTTGTGAAACATATTCTACCCAACAACAGTACACCATGATCACAGAGGTCAATTAAGCATCAAACAAGCTGCAGCTTTTCTGGAACAAAGATGGATATAATAAAAAAAAATCTTGAAACCCAACTCACCGATCTGCGACTGCAATGGTGGGGAGGAGAGCCGCGAGTCTTGCGACGGAGAGAGAGAGGAGATGACGAGCCGACGCCCGACGACGTGAGAAAGAGGAGATGACGAGGATGAGTGAGGGCGACGGTGGGACTGGGAATGGGATGACGGGTGAGAGATTGAGAGTTGAGAGAATGAATGATTATGATGATTGATGATTGATGAGAGCAGAGAGCAGAGAGATTGAGAGTAGAGAATTGTCAATTTGTTTTAGAATTAGGGTTAGGGATTTGCAAAAAAGGGTACCCGCGGGTTTACCCATATAACCCGTTAATGATAGTGGTAGGTCCGGGTTAAAAACGGGTCTAATACCCTAATATTTTTATCCGGGTACGGGTCGACCCCGTGGGTCTAAACCGTTTTGCCAGGTTTAGAATTGGGTACGTTGCGTGAAAGTGATGAGCTTTGATGGACGTACGAGATTAAATCTGACAGATTCATTGGGACGGTTAACTTGATTCTGATTTCAATTATTTTATTCTTGTAGACCCAATTGTTTTGATAGCCAACAAAGTCACCCCTATAGCCGATTGATGGTGCTGGAAATGCAAGAATGCCATCAATATCATTATTGTAAAATTAAATGAACTTTTTTTTGAATCATTCACTGCAATGATTCTTTGATCAAAGAAGAGGAGTTGAACACTTGAAGTTGGTCGTAAAATTCAATATATTAGTCATTGAACTTTATACACATATGAGTGTGTTCATTTGTTCATTAGTCCGAGCAAATATAAATGTATATATATGATATAACATAAATAAACATGTATATAAGTAATAAATTATGTTTTTCTAATCTAAGATTTTTTTTTATGTATATCATGTAATGAGCGTGGATATTAATTTAATAACATCAAAGATATTTCAAATTCTGATGAACTTTCTGTTAATTATTGAAGTCATGTAGAAATTGTTTAAAGTTAAATATATATTATTATTATTTTTTCTTTACTAACCCATTGATTCCATTTTTATCTTTTTAAGTTAACAACTACATTTAACTAAAATAATTAAACAGGGATATAAGTACGACATTAATCTATTCCAAAGTAAAATAACTCATATAAATATGAATATTTATTGGTGATGTTGCTCTATTGGGCTTGTTAGTAAGAGAACGTAATGTCTCCAAACAAAGTATATTTACAACAAGAAAATAAATCTATATATATGTAAAAAAACAAAAAAAATAAAAATTATAACTTGCATATCATACTTGACCACATGAAAACTAAGGGCTTGAATTGATATTTTCTCTACGATGCTTTCTTCGCTTTATTTGCTTGCCCTGATGTGGGCCTACGCCATTCTCTAAGGGGCCGATTCCCTTCATTATTGTGCTTATACCTTTCATTAATGGGCTTAAACCCTTCATTATTGGGCTTTTGGCCTTCTTTATTGGGCCTATGCACTTCTTTTTGTCGTCCAATTTGAGGCCCATTACATGTTTCCTCTTCTACTTTTGTTTCATCCTCAACCCAATCATCTCTCACCATCGACTGTTGATAATATCGGAAAGCCACAAATAGCACGAACACTGCATGATCGATGCATATTAGTGTATAATAGACAATAGAGAAATTTCCCAAATGTAACACTACTTTATTGACTTGTGGTATGATTGATGTGATATTCTAGTTTTTTCTTTTCGATAATGTTAATTATCGAAGAAGGCTAAAGTTTCCTCACCTGCCCAAATGCGAGCAACAATTGAAGATAGGTTCCATACAAGGGTAAAAACGGCACCGGCAACTGCCTTTTTGTGAGAACATGAATCCCATGCATCACGAAAGCGTCGAATCCAAAACTTGCCTTCATGTAGAGTTTACTTTAACATTAGCACAAAATGGAACTTTACACATCCTCAAAGAGTTCAAAAGGAGGTTTAAAATGCCCCCATTAGTAATTTTATCGATATATTTTTTTATTACAATTTTACCTTTATTTTAATTATTGATGGTGACTAATTAGCACTAGCCCATTATCATGATTTAGAAAAACTAATCATACCTAATCAACCCAAATCAAATGGTCAAATCATAATCATGTTGGAATTGTGGGCCCTAAACAATGTTGAGTGGGCCAACATGATGCATGTGACTTCTATATTATGCACATTATGCTTGTTTAAAAGTGTATTTAAAAAATGATAAAAACATTTTCAATCAAAGAAATGTTTATAAGTTTCTTAAGAACATTTTCCTAGAAGATGCTTTATTAAAAAAAATATTATTATTATTATTATTAAAGAAGGTTTTGATGAAAATATTACTGTTTTACCGAAAGGAGCACACCAAATGACGTGATGTAATCCTGATCGTCAATTAATTATAAATTAATATTAATCAACGGTTAGGATTACTTCGATGTACTCTTTCGGTAACTGTAACATTACTCGTTTTTTTAAGAGAAAATTCACGTTTCAGAATCCAATGATAAAATAATGTCATCTTATTTTTTAATAATTTTTTATGATTTTAAAATAAAAAAAGGACATAAGTCCCACCAATGATGGTAAAGAAAGAATAAAGGTTGGTGACCAAATAAGAAGAATCCTATTTAAGTGATAATCATGAAATAATTAATTGGGCCCATAAAATCAGAGAGCCGTTAGTAGATCAAATGAGTCAGACATGTGGCACGTGGAGGCGGACAATATGGATGGTGGTGATTGGTACTGCCTTTAGTAATAAGACAAGAAATTAGGTACTGTAAGGTTGAAGAAATTGCACTTACCGTATGCAGTTAACTGTGTGGAGTAAGAAGAGCAAACTTTAGGAATAATGAAAACTCCAAAAAAGCCTGTCACATTTAGCACAACGAAGCAGTCAGAAGCCAAATCATAAGGTAAAAATTCACTTTCAGAGAAGCACTTTCAGAGAATTTAACAGTGCCCTTCTGTCAACTCTGATTTTTTTGCTTCTGGCTAGATTCGGAAAATTGGGCGTAAATTGTAAAATTATGAAATTATGTAGAGTAAACGAAAATTCTGACTCAGAATCAAAATTTTCTTTTGAACGGTTTTAGAAAACGTTGTCAAGACCCTTAAAGTATGAGAAATCACGTAATTGCTCTCAGGATTGATCAAAAAGCATCATTTACCTCCTAAATTTGAGGGAGGTAACAATGATTTCTATTACCTTTTAAGGTTTTGCTGATTTCCTTAAACCCAGGAGAGATAAAGACAATGGACGGACGAGAAACCTCAACTAAATAGTAAAGCTATAAGATTTCATGCCCGAGAATTTTCAACGAGAGTTTTCGGTGATTAAAAGACACTTTAAAAAAGGTTAAGTTATCGAGGGTAACGTTACTCGTGACCTTTGACTCTTCGTCCGAGTTTTTTGTATGTGTTTATAAACACGCCGTTAAAACACACGTTAAAAAAAAAAAAAAAAAAAACTCACCCAATTTGGCCGTTTTCCAGATGGTAATGGAATTGCCACACCTGGCCAAAACAAAGAGAAGCACTGCCAACTGCCATTCATTCTCTCACAATATAAGCATCAACTTTTGGTGGTAGCTTCTTCAACCCAAAAATAAAAATAAAAATAAAAAATAAAATAAAGAAAGGGGTAAATTGCGTATACCTTCATTGTAGTAGAAGGATCACCAGAAAAAAGTGCTTTTAGCTTCAGAAGAAACTCATTTAAATAAGGAAGGAACAGCTTTAATAACCAAATTGCTTCTTGTTCTCCAAGCACATAACTTGAATCATCTTCTATATTTATATAACCTCTAAAAAAAATAAACGAAAAATATTTAAAAAAAAAAGATCAATTAATTAATTTTTTTTTTTTTAATTTTGTAAAAAATATTTACCTGCAAAGAATGGATCTGTAGAGGAATATTACAGCAAGATAAACCAAACCCAGATAGGAAACCACAGAAATAAAGCTGAAAAAATAATAAAAAATAGATTTTAATTATAGAGTTCTGTTTGGAAACAGAGGAAAGTGAATCCCAGATTAAATAAAATAAATAAATAAATAATTTACCTGATATTGAGATCAGTAGTGTAGGAAGATGAGATTATTATAAACGTGCCAATCCCAAAGATAAATGCTGATTTTGATACATCTCTCCACATTACTAAATCCACTGAAAAATAAAAATAAAATTAAAAATGAATAAATAAAATATTAAAAAATTAAATTAAATATATGTATATATATACAGTGAAAAATCTCACCTAAATTCTGCAGTTTGTTGTGAGTTTGTGGGAAGCTATGGTACTCTTCTGCAACTGAACCTGAAGTAAAAACATACCCAGATGAATAAAAATAAGACTAAATTATGCAAAAATGAGTTGAATTATTGAGAAAATGTTGCAGAAATTTACTTTTACTTGGACTTGGCTTTGTGAAATTTGTGTAAACTGGGAATGGAGTTGATTGGTTGTTGAATTGATTGAACACAACAACTCTTGGAGGCTTCAATTCTTCCACATTAATCTCTTTAATGTCAACACTCTTCTTCTCAATCTCAATCTCATCACCCTCAATCACTTCTTCAAATTCTTCTTCATCAATCTGTTCTTCTTCTTCTTCGTCTTCTTCAACACATTCTTCCATTTCAACATCTGGGAAATTTTGAGGGGGAGATTTTGTGACAGTCACATTCTTTACCTCACCTGAAATGGCCTTATCTTCACACACTTCCACAACTTCAACTTCTTGTTCTTCTTCAGATCTCTCAACTGGGAATTTCTCATTTTTGTTTTTGTCTTCTTCTTCATCAGAATTTTTGTTTGGCTCAGGCTCAGGCTAAGGTTAAGGTTGAGGCTGAGGCTGAGGCTGAGACTTGACCTTCCTCAACTGAAGCGGTGATGGTGGAGAACTCTTTTCAACTCCGTTGAGGGGTTCAGATTTTGATTTAACAAGCTCAGATCTTGTCTTTTTAGTCTGAATTGGGCTGCTTTTCTTGACCGGAACAGGGCTTTTACATTCTTGAAGATCAGCACTTTTCCCTTTGGCAATCTGAATTGGACCCTCAATGCTTTCAGATTTCCATGTCTTTCTCTTCGTTTGCCCTTTCTTCAAGACGACTTTTTTATTATCAACACCATTGTGATTATCATCAAGATTGTTATTGTTGTTGCTGGTTTCTTCTCCATTGAAGACTTTGATTCCTCCTTTAACTTCATCGCTCTTCATTCTGGATTCCCAAACAGACCCTGCTACAACAACTCCTCCTCCTCCTCCTCTTCCACCACTCTTTGTTGCTGCTCTACTTCTGGTGACATCCATTGATGTTTCTTTATATAAAAAATCTTGGGTTGGCTTGGATTACAATTCTCTCTGTTCACTTTGTGGCTTTAGATAGTGAAAGAATAATAATGAGTACTAATGGGACATGGATGATGATAATTGGATAAGAGGCTTTATGTTGAAGAAATGGAAGTTGGTGAGATGGTGGAGGACATCGGGATCTCTTTCTCTATGCAAAGAGATTGAGAGAAGGGAGAAAGGGAAAATAGAGAGAGAAGATTGTATTGTAAGGGAATTGTCTTATTGTTGTGTTCTAGAGTATTTTATACCATAGAAATACTATGTCAACAGTATAACAAATGAATAGATATACGGTTTTGGTATATTATAATTACCATATCAGTTGTATGACTGTATCACAAGTAAATAATATCTTATTAGGGGTGTTCGGACTAGTATCACAAATGTGATCGATGACTCTAAGGTGGTTCAATTCCAGAAAATCAATAAAAAGAGTAAATCTTCTTGATCACCGGCCAACCCTTAAAATTAAATTAATAAATATTTATATATATGACACTGATACGATGATTTATAATAGATGTGATATCTCTGTTTTTTTTTTTCTTCTTAATCAGGAGTTGGATTTACTTTGATGGGAAAAGTGTAAAAGTAAAAGAGATGCAGGTGGTGGGGTTAAATGATTAGTGTAGGTTAAGAATGAATGAATAATCTCTTTTTCTCGTTTTTACTTTGTATTAATTTATTCTTTCTTTTGGGTATTTATTTTATTCCACTTTCTCAGCTTCTTTTATCAGTAAATAAAAAAGAAAGAAAAATCCTGAAACTGAGAGTGAGATTGGCACTGTTCCCAAGGCACCTCCCAAAGTGATTACTCTCACATGATGCAGCTGGAGAGACACACTGCCTCTGCCTCTCACTCTTTTCTTTTGTTATATAAGATTAGACAGAGAGACACGTTTTGTTTTGTGTTTTTTTTTTTGTGTGTTTTTGGCCAATTTGTCAGAAATCTGCATTAAAAAATTAAGTCTTCTTGATGAATTGGTTCATGCATTGTTTTGGAAACAAAGTTCTAATATCTATTTAAACTAATGGTTTCCCTATATATATATTAATCATGCTTGTTAGATTACGTATCGCATATCAAAAACCTAATTTTTTAAATCGTGTATTATATCATAGGATATGTTTTTTTCAAAAAATAATAATAATACAATAAAAAATTTTTAAAAATTAATATAATCTTCAAGATTAATTAACAAATTTTGTGATATTATTAGTTTTAAATTATGATATTACATAATCAAAATTAATTACAAAATTAAAAATTTATGTCATTTCATTTTAACCATTTCTATCATTTTTAAGATCAATGTCAATATCTATATCTTTACTTGTGTTATTATTATTATACAAAATGGGTAACATATCTTCCTCTTCACTTTCTCCATAAAAAATGAGTAAATTTGAACGGGTTTTAGTGAACCGGGTTGGGTGACCTAGATCCATCCTGAACATTTTTTTGGGCCTTCAGCCCTAATTAATAAAGTCGTATCAATATTTTTAAGGATACAAACCAATACGTATTTTATCGTAGGATACATATCAACACATCGAAAAGTTTAGGATATATTTTCGGATGCGTATTGTTGGCGACTCGTATCGAATCGTATCATAAGATACGTATCGCATATTGTAGGATACTAGTAACCATGATATTAATAATCAAGAAGCCTTCTAAATTGTTTTACAAATCTGAGTTCAAAATTAAAATCTTATTAGACAAACAAATCATATACTTTAAAGAGTGTAAACTACAAATCTGACTATTTGGCTACGAGAATTTTTATACTAATCTATTATTAGGAGAGATTTTAGTTTATTGCAATAATTTTTTGTATTCGTTCTATCAACTACTAATATAACAGTATAAAATTTATTATAAAATGGTAAAATTACTTATTTTATTATCGTATAATTCATTTAAATATTGTACATCATTGACCAGGATAGTTAAATTTTAAAGTGGGATATCAACTTTATAATAAATGTCATATTTTCTTAATGTATAACTTATGTTAGAAGTTGAATTTGTCCCACATTGCTAATTGAGTAAACTGATATGGTGTATATATGTGGTTGAATTCCCTCCTCCCTTGAGTTAGGTTTTGAAAGTGAATTCTATAGAAATCTCTTTATCATAGTGATAGAATTTGAGATGGGCATAACTCCTCACTCGATAAGACCTTGTTGAATGAGAAGATTATCCCATTTTATAAACCAGTATGATTGAGCGTGTCTAATCGATGTGGGACTCCAACACTCCCCTCACGGTCAAGCTCATATGTTCGGTCATGCCTGTTATTGAAGGTAGTTGTCGGCTCTAACTCCTCACCCGTTGGTCAAGCACTCAGCTCAATTGAACCTGGGCTCTGATACTATAATAGAATTTGAGGTGGGCTTAACTCCTCATCCAATAAGACCTTGTTGAATTAGAGATTTACCCCGTCTTATAAACCAGTAGGCTTGAGTGTGCATAGCCGGTGTGAGACTCTAACACTCTCCCTCACGGTCAAGCCCATATGTTGGGTCATGCCTGTTATTAGAGATAGTTATCGGCTCTAACTCCTTACCCGTTGGTCAAGCACTCAACTCAACTGAACTTGGATTCTGATACCATGTTAGAATTTGAGGTAGGTCTGACTCCTCACCCAATAAAGTTTTGTTGAATGAAAGAATTATCCCGTCTTATAAATCAATTGATTTGAGCATGCCTAATCGGTATGAGACACCAATATAGTATCAGAGTTTATGATAAAACTGCATGAGTGAGGGTGTTAAAAGAAGACGCTCGCTTTATGCAACTACTTAATTACATTTTTTTTGGGCGGTATTTTATGATAAAACTAATACTTTGGCGAAGAGGTTGTAAATTATTCGGTGAGATAAGAGGATGTAGCTAATTTGTCCGAATCCATAAAGTCAAATGGGTGTAATTAAAAAATAGAAATATGTCAGACAGATGTTGCTCATCCTCCATAAATTTAGCCCAAGGCTCCTCCAAAAGATACCTATGCCCCTTAAAGTTTTAATAAAGCAGATTAGATTTAGTGTTAAAGTTAATCATGTGATTAGCTTTATTGGTTTGTTATCATATGCAACACAACTCTAATCTTCAATCGACTTGAATTAAAAATTTAACCCACATTTTTAATTAGCCGAATTATTATGTTACAGGAACTTAAGACAGTATATATATCCACACTATCGTCAACTCCCCTTAACCAGCTATGTTACACACAGATGAATAGAAATAACGTTAATATTGCTTTTGTAATTTCTTTATAAATAAGCATAAATAGGTTTTTCTACCGTTTAACTTGAATTACATGTCAATATCATCGAAAAATTCTTTGTCTAGAATGATTAAAGTCTTTCATTGTTGAAAACATGAAACAAGAACGTGGTTGAATGTAACATTTTAACTAATTCTTTTCAATATGGGAGTATGAAAGAGATGAAATATAGAATTAATTAATGCTATACTATTTTTTAATAAAATGAAATATGAAAGTTGTATATTGATTTTATTTTTGGTAGAATATATTTTTGTCTTTTAACTTGGAAGCCACGAAGAGAAGGAGAAGAGAAGCAAACAAATTAAGGGAATGGCGCGGTCGGTGAACATTGTCTTTGTTAGGCTTTGCCAACGTGGGTATCATACATTTCGCTTACATAATAATCTGAGATAGACGTATTATATCATTTATATATATGTGAATACGTCTTGAGAAAACATATTATAAATTTCTAAACTTTATTTTTCATCGATAACCATAATTATGACATGTTGAAAGAATAACATCATCAATCTATGATAGATGATTTCCAGAACTAACACATCCTGGATAATATGTGAATCGTAATACAACCTAACAAGATAATCTCAGCATGTCAATAAAATTTAAAAAATTTCACGTAATTATTCCTAAAAAAAGAATAGATATGAATTTTTTTTTTTTGTGACGGAAGTGTCAGAATCAATTTGTGCGTATCTTGACTAATTCTCTAGTGAAAAAAATTTAATCCACTAATAACTAATATTAGCAATGAGATTAAGACAAGTTTTAAGAATATAAAGAGGCCTGTCAAGGAGTTCAATTATTAAAGGCACATTACATTCATTATTGTCAATTATTTTACCAATATCATTAATTAATCCACCCCACTTTTGTTATCTATTAATTATTGAAGAGAGAGAGGCCCCTATACCCTTTTTTTTATCTCAATTGTCACTCTAAGACTTAACTTCTTCATAGAAACTCTTAACAAAATCAATTTCTATAAGTTATACTTAGAATAAACTGAATCAAACCTACTCTTGATAGAAAAAAAATCATCTCATATAATATCTTTTTACGAGAATAAGAAAGGTTTTCCTATACTCTCCAATATATATATTTTTTTGTTGATCAAAGGTGTTTGAGCAAGTTCGAACACACTTCAACTAATCTCTAGAGGTTCTGAAATTAACGACCAGATAAATCTGCAGTAGCTCACTCCTATTAAGTATCGAGGTGAATTAAACTCAAACACATCTACATTTACTACAACACGATGTACAAAAATATTTCTTCCGAAATGCATGTATGAGTTGAAAATTTGGCAATAGAAGAATCCAAATATAGTACTATTTTTTTTTGAGGGGGCAAATGACCCTACCACTTACTTTCTCACTTTCTTTATTGCCTTTTGAACATGTGAGTGGAGACCGAATCACATGCTGAGCTGCCCTCCCTCGCTTGTTGACAGCTTTTGAGTTGATTTCTACATTTTACTGTCACCGACACTAATTTCTTACAACTTCTCTAATTATTTCTCACTCATTTTTATTTATATTTACTTATTATTCCACACACACAAAAAAAAAAAAAAAAATATTAACCTTATTTCATAATCAATACGGGGTTATTAAAGACAATTTCTAAATGGTACTTATAAGAAGTTAATTTCTAGTGAAAAGATTTCATATTCTGACTTTAACTATTCTATTTACTAGATGGAATTAGACAAAAGTGAATCCAGAAATTTCTGTTAGGGTGAACCAAAATAAAAACTAATTACATATTAATATTTTCGTTATGATGGACTAAAATTCAGAAATTATATATATTAATATTTTAAAAAAAAATTGAGGGTGAGCCATGTATTGTGTCTGCCTCTGGAATTAGATTTGTTTGTTTTTCATTTGCAATCTTAAAATGTATATAGAAAATAACATAAGAAAAATTTGGATAAATAAGATTTATGATCTATTTCTTACTATTAATTATCATCAATTTGAAACATACAATAGACATATATTTAGTGATAATAGAATACGAGCGAGAGAAAATTGGCTCAAAATAACACGATTCTAGCGATCAAACAATTAAAAACAAATCTATTGAAATAAAAGAAATTAGTAAGAGGGTTATCTCACTATTTGAATGTCATTGTGAATTATAATACAAAAATTGGGATACAAAGTTGGATTATATAAGAATATATATATATATTCTCTAATACGAACGTCCTGAAATTTTTTATGTACGGATGAAAAAGGTAAGTGTTTAAACTCTCACTTCACAAACCTTATAGTGTGCACTGGATGTTTAGGCACTTATCCTTAGTCTGTTGGTAAAAAATTTCAAAACGCTCGTGCTGAAAATTTTTCATATAATATTATATGAAATTTACTGAGGTGTATATATATATATATATATGAATTTTATAAAATCTATTTAGATTGAATATCACTGAAATCAATGTAGAAATTGAAAGAGAAAAAAGAATAAAAAACACAGAAATCAAAACCCAAAAATGGGGTATTTTTTGGGATTTGCATAGAGAGTTGGGATTGTAAAAGAGGATCATAAAACCAGCGGTGTAAAATACGAGAATAATGTTGAAATTAGACTAAATCTTTTGTTCCGTCTAAGGCACGTGACTTGCACAATACTCCATACATTATGGTACATACCAAATCCCACATTCCAAAAAGGAAGTTGACGATGGAAATTTTTTGTAGCATCCAAAATATTCGATGAAAATTTATAGTGTAAAACCAAGATTTATTATTATTATTATTATTATTTATAACTTGAGTATTTGAGTTAGCTTACGTACACATCAACTAATTCTATATTTTAATCGTCCATTTTTTCTTCTACAAGAAATTTATCAATAAGAAAATTAATAATATAACAATAAAAATTAGGGTTTTAAACTCTCTAAAGCACGCTCACCAGAAAGCACAAAATATATGTTAATTAAGAGAAGTTTTTGGTACTTTTGTAAAGTAAAAACAGTAATTTCAAGGGTAAATGATAATTTTAGGGCATATAATATTTTCTAATAATCATGAATATATTTCAAAGTTATCTATCAGAGAAAGACTTTATCTACCCTAGAGTTATGATTTAGGTCTTTGTATATAAAATACTAAGATTTACCTTCCTTGAATTTCACAAATGTCTACATAAAAAATATAGAAAATTGCTATCGTTTCTCATATTCAAAAGGGGTACTTTCCAATATTAAATAGTAGGTAGGATTTGTACATCCTTGGTCTCTTGTGAGCCATTGTTGCTAGCTTTCCTCTATCATCCTTACGATGGCTTAGTTCCCGGGTTTCTCGGCCTTAGTTTGTAATTCTTTATTCTTTTATAATACTGAAAATATTAAACAGTAGGACTTAGAATAGTGGACCAAAACCCAAAGAGATAGATACAATTAACTCGATACTCCTTATATAAACTCTATCATGATTTAATCATATTAGTTAATGATTCAGATGACAACGTTAACTCCTATTTATTTGGTAGCGTAATATAATTGTCAAATTGGAATACTAAACACCATAGGTCAATGTTGAATGTAAACACAAACAAGTGGTTAGGTACTTAGGTTGAGATTAATATATACAAAAGAGAATCAATCAAGCTCAACCCACATTGACATTTTGTGCAATAATTTTTCAAAGGAAAATATTTAATTATTCATCAAACTTTATATTATCATCTTCTTCTTCACTTACTCCGAGACTGGTAAAGAACTAGTAGCCTAGACACATCAGTGCTACTAACTAACCCTTTTTTTACTTCTTGGTTTGATGGAAATTGATAACCAACTCATAAAAAATTAGTCCACTTTTAAGGAACAACTTTTAAACCCCCAAAGCTTACTCAAAACTTGAAAAGACCCGTTAGATACTAGTAATGACACAAAACCCCTTACCGTCTGTCAGTAAAACGGTCATAACTCATAACACATTGAAGGGGTTTTTCAAGTTTTAAGAAAACCTCGATTTATTTGTTATATATAGATATTTAAAGTCAAGGGCAAATATGATATTTGACCTTTGCATTTATGTGAATTGTCAACTCGATTAACATTTGTCCGGCGACAAGAGCTTTTCCATCATTATTAGTACTTGAGGGGGGTTTCTACATTTTAAAAAACCTTAGGGGGTTTAAAGTAGTTATCCTTACTTTTAATATTAATCAACATTAATTTTGTTAGGCCTCTTTGATAACCCAAAGCCAATTAGGTCAAAAAAGCATCAATAGATAAGGGGTATTTTAGACTTTTACAAACATGCTTTGAACAACTGTTTCTGATAAGAGACCTAAATGTTACTTTAAGATTCTAATGGACCTTATTATTTAAGCTAAACCTTCGGGACCAAAATGTATTTAACTCGAATCCATGACTATATCTAGTATTATAACGTGTAACAATGTTTTAAATATGCTCCTCACCTAAGAGAATTAAATCTAATGAAGTGAAACAAATAATTATTAGTAATAGCACAATTAAGATGAAAATGAAGGAAGATATGCATAGTGAGGAAAAGTAATTAGAGGTAAAAAGAGATCAAATTTTCAATTAAATAAAGAATGGTGTGGAAATCAATTCAAAGTGAAAGCCAAAACTTGAAGGGGAAAAAGATTAACTATCTGCCAAAATCTTTCTTCGAAATTACTTACAGCTGTTGCCTACCGAAGAACAAGATTCTGCTGACTCCATCTCTGCCCCGATAAGAAAGAAAAGGATAGCGTTATTGAGGAATCATGTATTTAATCAAAGAAGAAGACATGGTTGACGGAATGGAAAGGGCAACGGGATAAAGAAACTCACCTTGCAGAAAAACACAGCTCAACCTAAATGTCTGCACCAAATTTCTGACATTTTGTATTTACATTTCAAATCTAATCTATGACTGGCTGAATATACATTTTTCTCCAACATCAATGAGATGATTCCAGTGCTTACACTGTACGTCTCTGCGTGCTGGAGCATCTGTTATTTTCTTTCTTGAGAAGGATTGTTTACAATGATGAGAAAATCTGTTGAGATTCGTGTTCTAGGTTGGGGTATGTAACATGCGTTCAGACTCCTTATGCGCAACATTCATCTTTGACTTCGGACTTTCTGCCGCCAATTTCTTCATTTCGAGCTCATGTTGCTTGCAGTTTTCCTGATGGGCTTTGCTAAACATTTTCACAAAGTTGTGCAGAGTTGAAATCACTGCAGCAATGTTTGAAAAGAGTGTTATAAAGTTGGATATTTTTAACTTCCGACAGAAAATTACACGTGTCATTTCCAGAAGTTAAGCTTTTCAAGTTATTGTGACTCCAAAATAAAAAATATCCATAAATTCAAAGTTAAACTCATTCATAAACGAGTACTGTGTGCTACTATCTATATTCTATGCAAGAAAATGAAGTCATCAAACAAACTCACTGAGTTTCAACTTGGTTCGTTGCATCAAATTATAATTTGTAATATGCAAACACGTACACACAATAAGGTTGATTTTTGCATAGAAAGAACAAAAATTATCAACGGAATGATAAATAGGTCATAATCAGCATACCTTGCTCAAAGGGACAGCGAGATGGATCTTCTCCAAAGTAAAGAATCAACGCATCCACATTTCTACCCTGTAAAACATTGAGCACGAGGTAAAGAAATGGCTCATGCAGAAAACAGTATAAAAAACGAACGCTTTTCTTCACAATAAAAGTTTGCAGTCTACCACTCCAGAATATAGAGAAGCCAAAGTCCTTATTTCAGCCTCAGCAAACCGGAGGAACTCTTTTAAATTCTGAACAACAAAAATGAGCTATAAGTTTTATGAAAATTATAACCAAGAAAAGAAAAAAGGCATGAAAACTGATTATTCACATGAAAGCATTTCAATATTGTCAGATTGCTATCAGCACAAACTTCATAAAGTTACCTTCCTTGACATAGACTGCCAAGGCACGATCTAATTGACTTGAAATTTGAAAATACTATTTTCAGAAGATATTAGCACAGACACTGCGCATATGGCTAAGAACTAATTTATCATAGCTCAAACAATTCACAATCTGGTGCACCAGCTTTTAGATTTTGACAAAGTTAATGAGTATTTATGAAATTTATACTCTTTCCACCTGCGGTAGCATGTCAGTGAGTTTAACACAAACACAGGAGCCTTAACTGCTGCTTATAATATTCAATTCTAATAAATTATTCCAATAATGTGAAAAACATAAATCTTAAGCAAGAGCAGTTATTCCCAGACAAACTAATCAACCGTTGTCTACAATGAAAAAAAAAAAAAAACAATGATGTCGATTAACATTCTTACATTACCTTATGAAAATTTACTGACATAGGGCCATCATTTTCAGATAAGGTTAGTTCCTGAACCACTTTCTCCAATCCTTTGCTTAAGGCTTGCATTTCCTCGGCCAAAAATTTTAATTGTATCTAGATGGAAATCACACATCAGTTAGAAATGAAAGCTTTTATCAATTTGATTCCACTAAGAAAATATGATTTCAGTTGTTTCCTATTAAAAACAAACAATACAAAATTAAAAAGGATTTACCCTTGCTGCTGGCTCCAAACTGGTAAGGTCTCCTGAAAAGTCTAGAAGTTCTGGTAATCTATCAGCAAGCACCTACAAGTTATAAACCAGAATTAAGCATGAAAACACTAGTAATTTTGTATTAAAGTCTCTGGAGAGGAGCATCCAGAAAATTGTTGCAGTGATGACCAAATGCTACACAATATGTTCATTCCTAACAAATAAAGAGTATTTCAGAGATTAATACTAGGGTTTGGCTACTGACATTTTAAGCTTTTGATCAAGTGGTTTGTTAACATGATATCTATAGGAACTGCAAACCTTATGATAATGTTCACAAGGATCAGTTGCTTTAGTACCTTACAAAGATAATGCATGAGAGTCATCTTGCTGTTCCGTGCCCGTGTATCAGTGAGTTTGAGAAGGCTATCCAACCGAAATCCAATTGCAGAGCCTGAAGCCAAAAAGATAAACAAGTGGTTACAAAAATATGCATACAGTTCATATTTTAGCATAAAGAAAAAAATGCAGATATTGAAATGATAAAAAATAAAAGTACGAATGTTGATAACATGCTCAACAGTTATAGCCATAGTGAATTTCATTCCAAGAGAACAGCAATCAAAAGTTCTAACTCACCCCTAGCAGTTCCCTGGTTTAAAGCATTTCCTAATGAAAGAATTGTCTGCATGATTCTTCTCAGTTTGGCAGAGTTCCTGATCTGATAGAAACATCAGTATTGAAATTAATGATATGTCAATCCTAAATATTTTTTTTGGGTAATTGGTAATTTTATAAAGAATAAAAGAATTACAGCCTAAACAGGACGACCCCGGGACAGCATTAGGATATGTCAATCCTAAATATTTTGACCAGTTCCACAAATAAGAACCAGAGTAAAATAATATATCTTACCTCTTCTGATGCAGAGTTCACGACATTCAGGCTACTTCGAAGGTCAGAAACCTAAATAGTAAATTAAAAAAAAAAAAAAAACCTATATTAGTAACTAGCTCAAAACCAGGATATCTAGCAAGTAGTAGATAAACACTTTTATTTAACCTGGGAACGAAATTGTATCTTGAATGAGAAAACTCTGAGCTTGGATTCTACTCGTGGAACTTGCATCAACTCTAAGAAGAACTGTCATTAAGAATCAGAAAGCATATTAAGTTGACCAAGCATGTTTCAAATAGTTTTCAGAGAACAGTAGAGCACAGCAGCTGATGATTTTGTACTTGCCAAAAATCAGAAACCAAATCTTCTTGCCGTGTATACAGCAGATAACACTAAGTGAAACCACAGGAGATGACATGAATCAGCCAAATTATTCACAAGTTTCTCCAAGGGTATGAATTGATTAGGAGGCTATAAATTCAAACAATATCAGAGGGTAATCGTGCCAGTTAAGCTGATGAAAATGTTTTAAAGGGCATGGTATGACCAAGAATCATGTTAACAACATAGAAAAACACATCTACTAAAAGAACACCAAAAAGGAAATTTTTTTTAGAAAATAACATACATGAAAAAGTGCAAAATTATGTGATATAGTAACTAACTTTCTTGCTTCTATCAGGGCTTCCATGTCTAAGGTTCCACGATTGCTCTTTCTTCTCATTCATCTTAAGTAGGAAAGGGTTGTGAAGGTGCAAGTGTTTAACTTGAGTTGTGGTTGTACAAAGAAAGGGGCTTTGTGCTTGTAAGCGGGCTGTTATATAGCTTTTACTGGCCTTTACTTTTTGCAGTGTTCTGAAACCCAAACCGGACCAGCCGGTCTGACAGGGAACCGGCAGCCTCTCCAGTCCGGTTCAGGTTCCAGGGGCTTTTCTGCTAGATTTCAAACATGCAGGGACCAATTATATTTTTGAGGCCTTTTTACAATATCTTAAAATTTTAGGAACTTGTAATTTTTAGGGGTATTTTGTAATATATTAAATTTTCAAGGACTAATTTGCGATTTTTAAAAAATATTTTTGTTTCTGACATCACAAGTCCAATTGACCGGTCAGACTGGTCAACCCGAAAACCGGGCCCTTGACTGGGTCAAGGCCCAGTCCGATTTTTAGAACCTTGCTTTTTTGCAGTCTTTATGAACATTTGGTCCACTCTACATATGTATTAACAACAACTAATTATTTGAAAATTGTGTCTCATATTCTAGGATAGTTGAGAACTTTTTCCTTATATATTGGCTTTCTTCAAAACTTCAAACCGAAGATTAGTTACTAGTTCTAGTTTGATACAAGTTTATATCCTTTTGGGTATTGATTAGGATGTATTCTGTTGGGATCCCACATTGAAAGGGAAAAGGGTGGGCATGTGGGTTATAAAGGCTTTGGCACCCTCCCTTGGCAAGCCGGTTTTCCAAGGAGAGTTCTACCCAAGCTCATGAAAGACCCATGGCCTAGCCCAAATTGTTGAGTTATTGGAGTGGGTTCCTATCATATTCTTATCTACTAATAACGTTTTGGTTCACCTGACCTATTGCAGTGAATACTTATTGTAAAGATATAGTATCTTTGACTCTCTTTGAGATCTGATGCAAAACCACCACTCAATACCTAAGGGGATCAACATTATTACATAAGTTGATAACTAATTCTTGAACAAATCCAAATAATAAGAATTTAAATTTAAACTAAATGTAGAATTTAATATACGAATAGTTTTGTGTCAGCGTCCAACAAAAATATTTGTATGCATAAAAAAACCCAGGTTGGGCAGGGTAAATGCATTAAGTTCCAATTTAAATCCCTATCTAACATAGCTCTAATCAAGTGCACACAAATAAGGAGCATTTGAGGAAAAAATTAAGGAAAATGGATATGCATGTTGTAGTTAAATATCAATCAAATACTAGATTGCCATTTTGACAAAAGAATAAGACAACAAATAACAAAGTAAAGATAAATTGACAGACCTGCTCACATCTTCCCAACTTTTCCTTTTCTCCAGTGTAGCCCTAAACAAATTATAAAAGCCATTGTAAGTCAAAACTGAAAGAAGACAAACAACAATATTACTATAATATCTTGAGGTACCTGGTTTTAGGCAATAAGATTACTAGAAGAAATATAAAAAATCAACAAGTATTTAATATAACAATAACCTGATTATGATTCATTCTACCTTAAGTCGGTCCATCTCCTCCTTCGTTGGACAAAACTTAATAAGGTTTTCAACCTGGTCAACATCTAACGCTGATTCTTCTAGATCAAGAACCGAACTCTGTCATTGTTCCAGAAGGTCACATAAAATAACAGATGAGAAAATATTTTCTATTATATCATGTCTCTAAATGAGGACATTCACGAGAATAAATTGAAAAGTAATATGCACTGAGATTTATGTGTTGTATTGAGAAGATTACATGCTAGAATTAATTTATTTTTCCTTTCCCCTGCCTTTTGTGGGTCAAGGATGACGAGCAGGGATATGTGGTTGAGATTATAACCACCAGACAACAATAGTGACAAGACCTGGGTTTCCAGTTTTTCTACACCAAAGCAATTTGGTTTGCAGGGAACATAATTTTAAATGTCCAATCCAACTGGATCTAGTACACCCCTAAGTAAAACAACTCTGTCTGAAAGAGCTGAAAAGGAAAGGGTGAAAAACATGTTTTTACTAGTATGATATGAAGAAATAGATATTTCATAATTAGATTAAGAAAACATTTACCTAAAATGCTTAAGTTGATAGGTAAAGGGTCTAACAAATGTATGTAAACTTTAACATTCCCCTTCATGTGTGCTACACTTGGTTAACTTGGCTCTAATACCATGCAAATAACAACTTGACTTAAGAGGTCAAACTTATACATAAAGACCCAATTATAGTGTTTAAGCTCGCGCTAACAAGATATTCATTCACAAGCATAGCCTATTGAAGACATGGCTGTTGGTAGTTCAGCGTCATGGTCTGGAATAAGGCCTTGTTAAGTTGGGTTATGAATTTATTAAATGTAGTGGAACTTTATAATACTATTTTCAGTGAACCACATGGTCAAGGTGATAAGCACTATGATTCATCTTACCATCAACTCACGCAATGGCACTTTGACCTTTGAGAGCATGATTTCACAATTATATGCTCGCCGATGGTCAATCTGCAAGAAATGACAACATTATACAAGAAGAAGAAAATTAACCACAAATACAGGTTCACTCAGAATAAATTTTTCATAAAACAAGATATAAAAGAGAAGCCAATAACATAGTAATTTATGTCCTAGGATCTAAGAGATGAATTGCTTTCCTTGATCACTACATGACCACTCAAATAATGAAACCTATAATATTATAATTTTTTTTTTTTTAAATAATTGGAACATTTAGGCCATCAGAATTTCTGAAAAATCATTATTATTGGGTTGAAACCTCCTAACAAGACGTATAAAAGAGAATTCATAAACTAAGACGCCTTGAACATTATGTTCAAAAAAGTTTGTTTTAGAGGATCTCCAAGAAAATATTTTGACAGCAAATAGTTCAAGGCAAAAGCTGAATATAAAAGCGGACAACTTAAAAAAAAAGGAACAAACTCAATTATGCACTATATTAGCTGAGGGTTAAAAATAATAATACCAGTTGCACTTTATCTGATTTAGGACCCTGTGCACTACGGCGACTTGATTTTCCACCATCTGAATTTGCAACTGCAGCTGAAAAAAGACTCTCAAGTTCTGACATGTCAATCTCTGGAGCCCTACATCAAGAGGTAAGCAAAAAAAAAATCATAAGATTTTAGGTACAATGAAAACTTAGTTCATTGAATAACAAAAATTTTCTTCAGCAAATAGAACACACTTGGAAGTGTCACCAGATTTCATTGCTTCAGCCCATAAACTTCCAGAAACAGCTCTTGTTAACTTCAACCAATGCAAAGGCTTCAATTTCTTGGTTTGCTGACTCCTTGAACTGATAGTACGTGACAATCGACCCTTTGAACTAGAGGGAGAAATTAGTGGTGGTGGAGGAACTGGAGAACCACTAGAGGGGGAAGCAGCACGAGTCTTTGATGCCCCTTTACCAAAAGGAACAGGTGGAGGGGGAGCAGAGGGGACTGAAGGGGAATTTGAGGACAAAGGGGGAGTAGGTGGGGGTAGTGGAGGAACTGAAGATGAAACTGTGGAATTAGCAGGCTGTCCAGAGCAGATTGGAGGGGGTGGGGGTGGGGGTGGAGGAGGTCCAGCTCCAATAGCTGATTTGTCCTTCAAAGGTGGCACAGGAGGAGTGGGTGGGGGTGGAGGAGTTCCAGCTCCAATGGCTGATTTGTCCTTCAAAGGCGGCACGGGAGGAGGGGGTGGAGGAGTTCCAGCTCCAATGTCTGATTTCTCCTTCAAAGGTGGCATGGGAGGAGGCGGTGCAGGTGGTGGAGGTCCAGCTCCAATGTCTGATTTCTCCTTCAAAGGTGGCATGGGAGGAGGGGGTGGGGGTGGAGGAGGTCCAGCTCCAATGTCTGATTTCTCCTTCAAAGATGGTGATGGAAGAGGTGAAGGTGAGGTAGTCACTGATGAAGCAACTGAAGAGGCTAAAGGGGAAGGTGTAGAGAAAAAAAATTTCGGAGTTTCACCAGAGTCTGGAGTTTTCAGAGGTGGTGTTGGAGGAGGTGGAGGAGGAGGTTTGGGAAGAGTTGATGAAGCACTTGCAGGAGCTGGAGGGGAAGTAGTAGTAGACAATGAAGCATCAGAAGTTGTGACTAAGATGGAAGTCTTGAGAGCAGGTAGGGGGCTGTCCGCTGACTGCTTATCTCCTAAACAGAATTCACTCTCTTTCAAAAGGGACGAATGTGCCGAATTTGAATCTGAAAGACAATGAGAGGGTAGCTCAGAAGGTGGAGGTGGAGGTGGAGGTGGAGGTGGAGGAGGAGGAGGAGGAGTTTTCAAGGCACTAGAAGTTAAAGAAGGCCGAGGTGGGATAGGGGGTGGAGGAGTTGGTGGTGAAAATGAAACACTGTCAACATCTACAGATTGAGGTCTAAATGGGACAGCTGGATCTCGAGCTGGAGTGGTATTTGGGACAGTAACAGATGTTATCATCTCATGAGTGACCTCTGCTTTTACAAATGATTCATCATCATGCGTCAAAGGTTTGCCGTCAGAAGCTTGGGATCCATCATGATGTCCTGGCACCAATAGAGGTGAATCTTGTAAACAAGATTCAGGTGTCTGTTGGGACATGACATCAGATTGACTAGGTAGTTGAAGGGCATTCCCAGAATCTTGCGGTTTTTCCTCCTTCCTCTTATTGGTATCTGGAGATACTAGTGGTGAGGGCACGGAATAAGACTTTGGATCCAAGGACACTGAGCTCTCAGTGCTATCCTCCACAATTGTAAGCTTCTTTTTATCTTGAAGATCTGTAGAGCTTGTTTCCTTAAGTACAGGGCTATCTCCCAAACTTGGGCTTGAATCAGTGTCTGACTTCTCTTGGATAATATTTGATGCTCTTAACTGCTGGAGCACATTAAATGCAAAATCTGTCTTGTGATCTAACCAATCCACATGGTTAAAGATTTCATGAACTTTGGCAAATGCCTCAACTGGAAGGCCCTCCTTCTCCTCAAAGCAAGAAACATCAAGATCGACAATTGAAGCAGCAGCATCCATGTCTGAGAAAAGAATCTTCATCCAAAAAGTACACTTACATTAGAACAAAAGCACCAGCCAATAGCTACAGCAAACAAATGTGGCCAAGACATGTACCTCTGCTCTGAATCCCTTAGGGAATAATTCTTTAGCATCCCAAAATATGTCAACTTCATCAAGGTTCAGCATCAATATATTTGATCTGATAAAGGCTGTGTTAAAGACAACCCGGAACATCATTTCTTCTCGTTCCATGTCATCGTTCAAGTTGATACACTCGAGCACAACATCACCTTGTATATGGCAATTGATGTCAATTTTAACTAGTTCACATTCTCCCTGCAGCAATATTAAGGGGTTCCCACCAATCATTTATTTCAGTTTTGGATCAAACAGTAGGTGCAATTTAAGACAAATAAATAATAATAATAATGAAAATATAAAGAAGAGAGAAAAAGAAGAAAAAATTCCCCAAAACAATAAAATATATTACTGCACAAAATCATATAAGTAAAACCCGCTAACCTTGTGCACAACTGAACCTCATAAACCTACCAACAACATCTTAGGTCACCAACCATAAATAAAAACCAGGCTCAGGTAAACCATCAACGTGAAAATCAAGACCAAAAGAAAAAAGATTTCTAAAACTAAACTAACCCATATGATAATCCTATTTCACAGTTGAATGGAAAAGGTCAGGTTGAATCCTTTCAGTAGCCCTTTTAGAAGAATAGTTCCATCAATATAGCTGTAGAGACATTTGCTTGCCAGTAGACAGTTTTGACTTCAACGAATAAATGGGCAATATCAAGTACATATACCTTCTCCTATGTCAATCTTAACAACTTGCATTAAATTTAAAACAAATCTAAAGGCTTATTTTTCGGAGAAAATGCAAACAAAGACAAGAATAAAACGTTGAAAGAATAATAAACGAATAGAATTATGGATTCTTGTAAAGGCAGGTCTGTATGATTTATGAGATTTATAGCATGCATAAAAGATGCACCCAACAATAAAAAGCAAATATGGTACATGTTCCTATCCAAAGATGAAAGTCTCTCCATCGGTATGAAGCCTTGAAACTCCACCTCTTTTATTCTAGTAATGCATACAGATCAAACTTTAAAGAACAATCATGATATGCAATCCTACAATTTGTCCATCAGAAGTCCAATCTGAATAAGAATAACTACAAATGACTACAAATTTAAACCCCTAAGAGACATCCTACAACCGGCTCAATGTCTTATATCTTTAGATTCTCTAGAATCCTCACATTTTAAACTCACCTCCCTGAGGCAGTTTAAAGGTTTTGGTGCTTTAAAGGTAATGTAATGCCTGGCTTCTAATTATTCGTCTATATCTTTTCCTATTTATGTGTGTTTATAATGCTCTTTACACATACCACCTTAAACTAAGAATGAGTTGCATGGATGAAGAAAAAATCTTCCTCACAGTCTAATGAGATGAGAACTGTTCAAATAAAACAAAACTCGAGTAAATAAAAAGAAGGGCGTATCCTGCTACCTGCTTATAAGCCCGGACAGTTTTACTTCCTTTCATTGTTGCATATAATACTTTGGTACTTCGATCATTAACAAGAAAAGGATCCTGTCCATAAATTCGAAATATTGGACGGCAACCACCCTCTCCATCAAAGTTAGGAATAAATCGGAGGATGACACAATCCAAGGTGAGAGCTCTATCCAAAGGAGGCCATTCTGAGACTACATTCCTCCTTGAGATGTACTGCAGATACCTCAGTTGAGAAGGAATTGGATTCAGCGCTGAGAGCAACTGCAAAAGTTCATGAGGAGCCTGCTTATAAATCATGTCCAAAGTCTTCTGTTCTCCACTGTACTGCTTCCTGTAAATCAGGAGTGCAGCCAGCATGAAAGCCAAAACTGGCCAACCACCCCATTCACAATGCATCATCAGCACATTTTGCTGCCCAAGTGAGAGCCAACTTTCGGTAGATCTCAGAAAATGGTGGATGACCTCCATTGTGAGCAATGGGCAACCCTCATATTGCCGAGGGTAGTCCATTATGGTTATGTCATACTCAGCCAAGACATCGGCTATAAGACTTTTGGTCTTTTCTTCACGAAAATTGAACACCAAGAACTGGGCATCTGGAAAGTGTTCTCGTAGTTGATCAACTATTCCTCCTACATACCCTTTATAATTCTTTTCTTCCCAAGCATCAGTAGTAAAGCAGCAGTTGAAAACTAAATATGCACAAAATGATAACTCATTAGCCACCAATGTAAGTTTAATTTTCAAGTTTCAAATGAAAGAAATCATGCTGGCAATTATGTCTAAATTAATTTATTCTTTTTCCAAATAAGCATAGAGGTTATTGTTATTCTTCTCTTTATAAGAGACTATCATAAAATATTAAAGAAAAATAATTAGTGGGCTACAGAAGTAGACTAAAACATTCACAAAGGAATAAAAATTATAAGAAAAAAGGGATAGCAAAGCTGTACAGGACAATGACAAATGGTATAAATGATAATCTTCCCTTCCTTGAACCAATGGAAACAAATTATAAAAAATTAGCCCAGACCTACTTCGTAAATAAGATGTATAAAATAGAAAGAAATTAATAGAATGAATAATTTTACAGCAGTTCCCGGAAATAAAACATGAGAGTGAAAGATGTAAGCCTTTAAGCCTGCCAAAACAAACTAGGCCAGGTAAAATTGAACTCTCACACAAATCATCAAGAGGCTATTTTGATCACCTCCAAAAAAAATCACAACTTCCTCGCAAGACTGGAAGTTCATAAACTTTGCCTTTATTTTGCATGAACAAGCAACACAACATTTCAATCACCCATGTCATGTCTTTTAACAATCACCAATTGATATTGACTATTATGTCCCAATAAAGTTCTGCAAGTCTCATGCTCAGCGCATCAGTATGGCAGCAACACATGGTGAAATTCAACAAAGTTAAATTTCCACGCATTCACTAACTTTGGTCACTTTAAGTATCTGATAGTATAATCAGAAAATGGTTCACCGCACCAACCACATTCTACACACATTTTTGGTTTTACGATTCAAAAATCTATTTCTTTAGATAATCCCAAAAGAACTTTTTTTTTCTTAAATTAAAAAGAATTCACCAATCTAACCACTTCAAGTAGACTAAACTAATTGGACTTCCATACTCTCCAATCTCCACCGATTTTTATAACCAATATTTGACTACATTCACATAATTCCAAATAAAAACAGAGAAACTTTACATCATCAACTTCAAATCACCACTAACTCTTCATTTTCCAGGACAAAATACACAATATCCAATTCAACAACTCTAACATCAAATTATATATAATTTTAAACAAAAAGCGGATTCAAGTAAGACATAATGCGATAAAATCAACACTGAATGATATGCAAATGAAAACAGAACACTTTTTCGTTAATTTCACAAAGTCAATAAAGCCGCATTTGGCGGCAAAGAATTCAGCCAAATTTTTTTTTTTTCAAAAAATAAAAACCAAAATCTAATATCTTCAACTCAGCTCAGTTTCAATAAGATAGACAAACAATCACAAATTCACCAAACACAGCACAAATAATCAAATATGATAAAAAAAAAATAATAATTAAAAAATCATATAAAAATAGAACCGAAGAAAGAACAAACCGTAAATTCGTTCGGAGATCTCGAGCAGTCCATCAGGAGGCTTCCGATAGAACAGTCTTCGAAGCAACGCCATTTCGAGGCTGGTAACCTCTCAGAGCTACATAAAATTTTGAAATAAGGACGTGTTTGGCACCTGAAGAGGAAGCGCTCTTAGTTTCGAGATTTTTAAACAAGAGTTGAGCTTGACTTATTGTAAAAGAAAAGGAAAACGGAGAAGCTGAAGCAGAAGCAAAATTAGAAAAAGAACAGAAGATTTGGTTTGTTAGTTAAATAAGGACGTGTTTGTTTGGTGAGAAGAAACTGATTGTTTTCCTTCAAAGTGATTAATCAGAGACTCATTATTGTGTTTGTTTGTTAAGTTCGGCGAGAGCAGCTGAGACAAATTATTAGCTACCGACTTAGTGGCGTCGTTGCTGACATGGATAATTTAGTGGATGACACGTAATCTTGATAGAGGTTAGTTAAAGGATTGAGTTGAATTTTCGAAATTAATTTAATTTTTTTTGGAAAAAGAAAATTAATTAAATAATTTAGAAAGAAAATAACCTCACAGAAAGAAAATTACATATACTCTTGTAGATCCTATCGGAAGACCAAATACCCTTGTCGGTCTCGCGATATCCCTTATAAGTCACCAGTAGTGTTCTTCCACCAATATCATCGATAACCGTCAATAAGCAATCTTAGGTTTCGTTAACTGTTTCAAAATCTTTTGATTTTTAGTGAAGAGTATTTTCGTCTTTCAAAATTAAGAAAATCGAGTTAGGCTATTTTGTAAGATATTTTCTACTTTAGGGTTAAGATTTTATTTTACACACTAAAATAGGGTTAAATAATATATAGTTGGTTTTTACTTGGTGTCTTTGGTAATTTTATGTCTATTATCTTGAATCATTTAAACCGAACCAAGCTTGTATTGAGTTTACATACACTATTATAAAGAAAACAAAAACAGAACATCGTACAAGCTTGTTTCTACCTTGATCCCATGACGACAAACTATAATTTTTTTTTACAATAAAATTTGAGTTTGGTCTTTCATTTTCTTTAGGGTTTGTACAGAGAAGAGCTATTGAAAATATATTCTTGAATTGATTTGAAACATATGCCCCATTTAATCTTGGATCTGCCATGGCACTTATGCTTCCTCCTTTCAATTTTGCATCTCTTGCCTATTACAAAATTTTGAGCACAAATTATATTAATTAAATTTCTCAATTTATTTTTTATTTTTTATTTTTAGATTTGTATTTAGATCCTCCTTCGGTTTAAATTTTGAACATTACTCTTTGTTTTTTGAAAACAGAAAAAACAAGTTTGGTTCAAAAATTAAAAAATATAATCCTAAAAGTGGGTATTATCACTTAGACGACAAAACGTTAAAAATAATAATAATAATGGTACAAGTTTCATTTGATCAATAATAAGAAGACAGTTAATTTCATATATATATATAATTATTTTCCAAGTCAAGACATCCTGATATTAATTTCATCAGAATCATTGAACTGATATGATATTTTACAACTCAAATCCAATAGTATATACGCATGGTTTTGACAAATTAATATCAAGACGTTCTGACTAAAGAATTATGCTATATATTTGGATCTTTAATAGTGTTAATTTAAAATATGAAAAATATATGGAAATAAATAAATGAAACTAACAAACCTCCTCAACAAGGGATTTTGAATTTCTTCCTGTTAAAATCTGAAGAAGCACAACACCAAATTGAAACACATCATTTTCTCTAGTTGTTGTTCTCAGGCTTCTTCCATCCTTGGCCTTGTAATTTGCTGTAATGAAATCTGAAATCTTGGCTTCTAATTTTTCATTCAGTAATATGTTGTTTAATTGAGCTATCATTCATTTATCGAACTATTAATATCTTCAAAAACACATTTAAGAAAATAAAAAATAAAAAAGAATGAACCGAAACACTTTTTACGACTACCCAAACAGTTTTAGGTAAAACAAATATAACACGTTATTTATTAATAACCGTGTTTATTAATTTTCTTATTTTTTATCCACTTAAGCGATCTGATTTGTGTGATATGTCTATCACACTTAAAATTCTCTAAAACCTGAATTAAAATTTTCTGAGAATATTTTAACTACTAATGAAGTAAACCAAATTGATGTTTTACCTTAATGTCTCCATGAACCATCTTCTCAATGGGATTGGTATGTAGAAAACATAAACCTCTAGCAATTCCAATTGATATTTGGATCCTTTGCTCCCATGATAAAATTGGTGTTCTTAGATCACCTGAAAAAATACACTATTTAAATGCTTACTAACAAGTATATAAAATGTGAATTTAAAGAGAGTTGAAAATAAAGCATATATATATAAAAAAATAGTAATAATAACTAAAAGAAAACCCAATGCTTTGCTCCTTGTTTAGAGTTCCTAACTTTTGTATTTTGGGAAAGTTTTCAGTGGGACAAAAATAAGACAAATATATATTTAGAGTGTCCATCCAATCAGTTGACATATTTAGTTCACATCGCAAGCTGGTGTCACTTACACACATTGAACGCATATATATTTCCATCTCATTTTTGTGTCTTGGGAAAGTTTTTACATATATGTGTTCATCCAATCACTTGAGTCCGTTTGTTTAATTATTTTTCTCTATCCTATTAATACTATTCTCAAAATACATGTTTGTTTTCTTATTCTGAAAATACTATTATATTTTATTCAACTTTTTAAACCCCTAAGTTTATTAATTTAACTCAACGCCCCCCAAAAAGTTTAGAAATTGACAAAAACACCCCACCTACCCACATTTATCGAATTCTGACCACCATCGTTGGAAGGTAGCCGGAATCTGGAATAATGGCCCATTACCGACTCGATTTGGCCGATAGTGCACCGATCTATCATTTACCAACCAGATCCATCGTGGATATGGCCGAAAAAGGCCAGATCTACGACCCGACCAGATCTTTGGCCATAGCTGGTCTTCAACTACGACCAAGACATGGCTGTTGTTGACCATCAACGATGGTCATATCCTTGGCCGTCGTTGACGACCAAACACAGCCAAATCTAGCTGTAGATCTAGCTGTAGATCTAGCATTTTTTGGCCAGATCCACAGTGGATCTGGCTGGAAAAGTCCATCTCGACGCACGACTAGCCAGATCCAGTCGATCATATGCTGTAATGTCGGATTCCGACAATGGTGGCCGGAATCTAGCAACTGTGTGTGGTGGGGGTGTTTTTGTCATTTTACAAAAATTTTATATATTGGGGTGTTAAGTTAAATTAGCAAACTAAGGGGCTTTTTTTTTGTTAATTTTTAAATTCTACCTCGGTAATAATCACCCAACTCTACATACTAATAATATTTCAAAAATACTACTCAAAATAATAAAACAAACACACCCCAGTGTATACAATGCAAGCTGACGTGTTTTGCATACATTGAGGACGTATATACGTCCATCCCATATTTTTTCTTAGGAAAGTTTTTAGTGGGACAAATATATATTCGTTCATCCAATCATTTGGTGTATGCATTGCACGCAAGCTGACGTGACTTGCACACGTTAAGGGCATGGGAAGAGGTCACAATTTCACAAACAATAAGGCATGGATTACAAATTTGCAATTTGCCCACAAGCACAAAATTTAGTTTACAAAAGAAAATAACTTACCAAAAAGCCAGCCTGATAAGTCATGGCCGAAGCAGAACTCCTAAACAAGACATACATATAAATCTCCTCTGTCACAATATCCCAAAGTGCTCACCAAATTTGGATGTCTCATTTTTGCTTTTCTATAAATTTCATCAGTCATATTTTGAAGCTTATACTTTTCTTCATTAAGTCTCTTGATTGCCAATCTCATTCCATTAGCCATAACCCCCATATAAACCTTGCCTACACAAATAATTTTGATACTAATTAGATAAAAAAACAAAAATAATCTAAAATTGTGTTTAAAAGTGTTTTCAACATCACGATTAGTTGATAGTAATAAACTCTATAAGAAATTTTTTTACAGTTTTTGGTGCACTAAGTTGTGTATGAGAATTTTGTCTTTCAATGTTAGATGACGATAATAAATGGTTTATTACAACTAATAAACAAGGTCTGCATTAAAAAAAAAAAAAAAATACGAACGTATGTAGAAATGACGGATTGTTCATATAATTTTATTTTCGTAAATCATGAAATAAGTACCATACCAATAGAAACCTCTCCAATCAAATTCTTATGATTAAAAAAATTGGTAGCCTTTTCCATTTCTTCTGGTGAGAAAATACAGAGATCAGAACAGATGAAGGGACTTCTTGATTCATCCTCTAATTTCTTTTTGAGAGCTGGAACTGCATCCACCATTGTCAACTACGATCAGTTTAATTGAAAGTTCTGATCAGAAGAGGATCTGAAAGCTTACCTGATAAATTGTCAATGTCTTCTTGACGAGAATTTCTTAGTTGTTTCCTTGTTAGCTTGTAAAGAATCGGAGCTACAAGGACCAAAGCAGCAGCCACAATTATTATAATAAGGAGCTTCTCGGAACCCAGAAGAAAACCGTCTGCAAATTTATTTATAGCCTGTGTAAGAGCCTACAATTAAGCTTCTTCAATCGGTAAACCTCGATAGAATGATGAAACTTTATTAGAAAACAGTAAAAAGACAACGGTTATTTACTTTTACCATAACTTTTTCCAGGATTTTGTAAACGCAATGGAGAACCTGAAACTCAAAAATAAAAACCTGAAAACTGTAAACAACTGAGAGAATTATTTCGGAGACAAAAATTGGAGGAAAATTGTTCTTACGAATTTCATTCCATAAACAGGAGAAAGTTCCAGGAACCCAATTGGGGGAGTTTACATCTGAGCTTACCAGGCTGAGAAGAAGAGCTTCTCCACACTCTTTTCGTTCAGAATTATCTCTAGTTTTTTCTTCCAGGATTTTCAGAGACTCTCTGAAGGACACCACGCAATTAAAACAAGCATCATCGCTGTAATTTTCCTCCGATAAACCCTGGCAATCCGATCGAAAAGAACTATATTTTTCTTTTCCGAGAACATTAATGACTGAATCAAGATTTTCCGAGCACAGATTTGGGGTTGAACATTAGAGATGATCCTGGAATTGGCAGCTGGAGAGGTTGGTCCTCTGGTGAAGTTTCTGAAATGTGATGATACAATCCTGAGCTTCGGATGGTTCCAGGAAGATTGAGTTGGATTGATTTGTTCTTATCGCCATTGCCCGGAAGATATATAGAAGAGCTGAGCCGCAACAGGATTGAGTTATTAGAGCTTTCGCCATGTCAAAACACTCACTGTGTGATTCATATGGGAATTGTGTGAAATTCAAAAAGCAAGTGCCTGGAAAAAAAAAATGAATGTATTGTTAAAAGTAAGAAAAAAGATTCAGAATATTGGTGTTTTTGTTAATGCTTACTTGAACTGATCTTGATTGAGTTGCATAAAAATATGATGAAGATTGAAGAGAAGAGATGGGGAGTAGCCATTGATGATTTTAGTTTGAAGCTTTCATTAATTTCTTCTTGGGGTAATTAAACTACTTAGCTCCAAGCATTAAGAAAGGTTTTATAGTTCACAGTTTATTTAATTAACTTTTTAATTTTTGAGAAGATGATGAGAGTGGAATGCTAGATGATTATTAGTGTTTGCCACTTAGGTTATAGACAAACTGTTAATGTTCTTTTTGGCTGACTAGGTCAACCACGGCAATCTTTTCAAATATCTAGAGCCATGTACTGTAGTTATAGGCTCGATCATGACAAAATCAATATGATAACTTCCTGGCTGGACAATTACTCTAGACTAATAAAGTCATAAAGTAGATTTAGATAGAACTCACGCTCAAAAGTTAGTTCAAAGGAAGAGGGAGTCCAATCACATATATATACCATAATAACCCATCAACAATGTGGGATAAATTCAACTTCTAAACACTCCAAAAGTGGCATATCAATCTTTTCAAATATCTAGAGCCATGTACTATAGTTATAGTCTCTATTCGCAAGCCTAATCATGACAAAATCAATATGATAACTTCTTGACTAGATAATTACTTTAGACTAATAAAGTCATAAAGTAGACTTAGATAGAATTCACGCTCAAAAGTTAACTCAAAGGAGAAGAGAGTCCAACCACATATATACACCATAATAACCCATCAACAATGTGGGATAAATTCAACTTCTAACACTCCAAAAGTGGCATACTAAGATATGGTGGGTTTGGGTAGAATTTATCTCAAAAGCTAGCTCAAGGGAAGAGAGAATCTAATCACATATATATATTATAATAGGCATTGCTTACCAACTTGGCGATATAGGACAAATTCAACTTGTGGTATTTACACCTAAAAATTGAATCTTATAAGATTATATAAAAGAGCTTTAATCTTTTATTAATGATGATTCATTTTTGAGTTTAGCTAATGAAATCTTCTGAAATTTATACTCTCCATAAGCAAATGTTCTTCCAATGAAGCTATTTGAAATTGAAATATCAAATCCCAATTTCCGGAGTTTTGAGCAGGCCGGCTGAATGGGGTTCAGCACTAATTATTAGTTAATTAATTAAGTTGATATTAATCTCGACAAATAGAATCTAGACCATCAAAGATTACTCAAAATCCTTATCAACGACTTGGATCAATCCTGAAGGACCTTCACTAATCCATAACTATAACCTTGTCCATGTGTTGATCTTTCTATTTAATTTCTGATCTGGTTTTGATTGTTTTGTTGACTTGTGTCAATTTAATTTTGTCTTATGTTGCCGACCCATATCAAAGTGCCGACAAGGAAGAGTGAAAATAATGCTGGCTGAAATATTTATTTATTTTAAATTGAATTTTTATATGGAAAATGCAACACCGTTCACAACTCTGACATAACAGTTCGTAGTTAGTCAACTCATAATAAGTCTCACCTAATAAATTACAACTTACCAATTACGAACTGTCACGTCAGGATTATGAAAAGAGGTTATAGAAGTAGCATTACTTTTTTTATATATAGATTTTAAAGTCTTTTAAGTTTATTTAAGATCTTTAAGAATAATATTATACTTACAAACTTTAAAAATAAACTTTCTTCCAATTATTTTTTATCATATCAGTTTATACGAGAAAATTTATAAATATATTATTACTTGATGCTTAATTATAAAAAAAAAAAAAAAAAAAATTATACTAATATCACAACAGTCAGTTACTTGGTTAAAACTTACGACGGTTTGATAAATAATATTAATAATTTAGTTAAAACTTACGACGGTTTGATAAATAATATTAATAATTTATTCAAAATATTTTGTTTTACCTTTTGAACCATTATATTTAACGTACAAAAATATCATTCGAGAGTGATAACGCTAATTTCTCAAAATAAAGGCAGGAAGAAATATTTTCGCCCCAAACCTCAAGGGTAGCACTATAATAAACCCATTTATTAATAAAATTTGGTAAAAAGTCAAAATATGTAGTTGGAAAGAAATTGGAGGCCAATTAAAAAGAGACAAAATATTATAAAAATAAAGCAAACATTTCTTGGCGTAGGGTTGAGGAGAGTTCAAATTTCTGACCTAGACCAACCGACCATGTAGATTTCTTATTTTGCATGCCATCTCTATTCTCTACCTCTTATGTTTAGTTATCTATTATTATAATTTGATCAGTTTTCATTCATTTTATAGAAAGTTTGGTAGAGACGTAAAACTCTATAGAAATGAAATATTTGTGACCATCAATTTAACAAAGTCTTACGAAAAATATGCTTATGTTTAAATTTGTTTCACATCGTTAATTTGATAAGTTGTTACAATGCATATATATGGTTGAGTTCTTCCCTCCATTAACCTGACTTTTGAGGTTAAGTTCTACCAAACCCACTTTATCATGGTATCAGAGCCACGTTTGTTTACAGTGATGATGAGTTTGGACCCTGACCCTCACGCCGTGTTAGAAGTTGAATTTATCTCACATCGTTAAGCTGGTAGACTATTATACTGTATATATGTGGTTGGACTCTCTCTTTCTTTGAGCTAGCTTTTGGGCTTAAGTTCTATCAAAACTCACATTATTAGTTTGATTGGTATAATTTATTTATCTAGAATTTATTAGATTAAATCTTATGAGCATCAAGTTTAAAATAAATAAATAAGAACAATCAAGTTAAATTTCTAAAACAGAATAAGAATATGTTTTAATTTAAGACTTTAAATAAACTTAGAAGAGTTTTAGCGGAAACTCGAATCTTGGATCTTGTTGCTGTTTGATTTTTGACACTAACTATTCGCACATGTAAAGTGCTAAACTGACTTAAAAATTACAAATGAATGAGAAATGAAGTAAATAAATGGGAGATGATTTTTAAAGTGGTTAGGATGGTCAAAGCAAATCCTACATCTACTACCTTTTTATCAATAAGAGATTACAATCAGGTCGCATATTGCTATCAGAGAGTAGAAATACAGAGAGGGAGAGTGAGTGTTTATGTTATCAGGATCTAAAAAATGAGAGAAGAGCCATTTATTTATAGTAAGATATTTCTGGGCAATGATTACAAATCTGTAAACAGGCAGGTGTCGTACAATTCATACCCTACTTCCCATTGGTTGATTGTACATGAGATATCCTTAAATCGCGCAGGGCTTGGGTAGGTGGACGACTCTCAGTCACTCACAAATCAAATCTTTACCTGCCAAGTTGATAACAACCTTACTCTTTCCGTCCTTGGACGATGTGGCAGCTCTTGGGCGGCACAAAACCTTCATAAACTCTTATTGGTCCTTGTTGACGTTAACTTGCGTCAGTCCTGATTTTTTAGGCATAACAGATTTTTTTTAAGTATTACGTAATAACCAATTTTTTTTTTTTTCTTTAAATAGAGATTATGAATTAATGACATTAACAGAATTTTTTTCTTGCTCCGAACAATCGCCATCTTCTCTACCTACTTTTCAACAATCAAATTCGTATTGGTGTGAAACTTTAACGAAAAAGTTAAATGGTCTCACCACTAAGTTGAAATTAAAATTTTATCATATGATTCATAATATGAATGAATGCTTCTCACATGTCTAATTAATTTGTAAAATTCAATGAATTTTTTGGTCATGACATGTGATGCATACCTTTTTAATTCTTGAACACCGACCTAAAGAAAAAGCATGACACATAATTGTTCATTTTTAACTCAATAGAATGGTCTATTAATTGTTGATTTTAGGAACATTATCAAAAAATTTATTTTTTATATTTATTTTACATTTTACTTCGTTATAATTCCTAAATAAACTATTAATCTTACAAAATTTTTTAAATTTTATACATACAAACTAAAAGTATATAGAATTAATAGATGAATACGGATAAAAAAAAAAAGAACTCATTAGATGATTAGTGAATAAAGAAAAAATAATAAGATAATAATAAAAATATATAATTTTAATTTTAATTTGTATATATAATATTATTCTTTATCAACACAAAGTAGTTACCATGAATTTTGTACAGTCAATTACTCAATTAGTGGCGGAGCAAGAATTTTTGTTAAGGAGGAAACAATATTAAATTGTAGAAATTTCAAAAAATTAATTATTTCTAATTTAGTATAAACAAATAAAATCAAACATAATTGAAAAAAAAAAAAAAACAAAAAAAAAAAAAACAAATGGTTGCAATTGCCCGAGAAAATCTATCCACAAAGGATTAAAAGATTACAACTAGTTGCAGTATAGACATCAAACAACTGAAACACTGTAAGAGGGAGGGGGCCTATAAAGCCACGAGTATTGGCTTCTGCTCTGACCCTCTTGGTTGCTCTGTCCAAATACACAGAGCACAAGCCTATCTCTTCGGCCCTCTTCCTCTCCTTTCACTCATTCGAACTCCAAGTGGGGGTCTTGTGAATTGGAATTTCTGCATTTCTGGTTAACCATGGCTTGCAGACTTGCAGATTCTATGTTCCTTTTCATGGTGAGTGAGTGAAAAACTCTCGGCTTTGTTGTTTTTGATGGTTTTTCTCAACTGGGTTTGTTTGCTTTTTGGATTTTTCTTGTAAAGTTCGTAGCTTTATTTTGTTTGTTGTGGTTTTTTAATTGCTATTTAGGCCCCACATCAAAGGCCTGTTGGGAGTCAGAAACTTGCTTGCCTTCATTCTCCAGGTATGTGAAATCTTGTTTCTGTTTTCTTTTCTTTGTTATTTTCTTCAAAGTTGGCTCTTT